CTGTCTTCGCCAGGTGTTACTGAGTGCTGAAAAATACTGGATGATGTTTGACATTCAGCCATGTACGCGTCACAACCTAAATTATCTCCCTGGAATTTCTGGAATTCTAAGCAGGGCTTTTGACTGGGAGCCCAGTGCCTGCCAACTGAGTTTAAGCAGTGTTCTACTATCTGAGTCCTCCCCGGTTGTTGAGTTCCTCACGTTTGTTGAGTGGACAGACGGTACTGTAACAGCCTTCGATACTTTGCACCTAAAACAGGCTTTGGTTACATAAGAAAATGTCTTTGAAGTTGTTTCTTATGTAACGTGACCTTCCAGGTGAAATTCAAGTTACATTACAGGTGGCTATCGCCAACCTTTGTTCAAGGTGACATTTCGCACGGACCATGCATTACATTTTTCGAATTCTCTGCGGGACAGAATATCTTAAGGAAACTAGCATGGTCAATGGCATACTAACACACATGCAAACACACACACACACACACACACACACACACACACACACACACACACACACACACACACACACACACACACACACACACACACACACACACACACACACACACACACACTCACACACACACACACACACACACACACACGCACACGCACACATCCAAAGCAAGTACCAAACACATGGACTACTCCCAAAAGACCAATGACCAGCTAGCCCTTCAGAGCACGTATGCCACGTTTGCACGATCAGCAGCCTCCGTTTAATCATTACTATCCGCCATCCACAAGCTGACCCCTCGACCCCCTCGGTACTGATCTCTCGTTATCGACCATACCACCCACCACGACCTTCGGCGCCCGAGGGCGCACCGTGTGCCGTCCTATCGCAGCACGCGAACGCACGCCACGGCTGGTCCGGCACGCAGCGGCGCTGCAGCCGGCCCAGCAAGTCCATGACACCGCCACCCAAGTATGCCCTAATTTAGCACCGCAATCACCAGGCTTGTACTGTCGACGCAAAGGACAGACCCGACACGGGTGGGTAAAGGTCGCCATACAATAGGGTAATGTTGACAAGGAGGTCCGATACGGCGATCGATGACCTCCGCACGCAGCGTACGGAGCAGAGCAGTCCTGTAGGGCGGAGAACGGACACTGTCATCAGAGAAGTGCAGTCCTGTAGGGCGGAGAACGGACACAATCATCAGAGAAGTGCAGCCCTGTAGGGAGAGGAAAGGACGCTGCCATCGGAGTGGAGCAGCCGAGTGGGGGAAGGGAAGGACACCATCATCGGAGTAGAGCAGTCCTGTAGGGAGAGGAAAGGACGCTGCCATCGGAGTGGAGCAGCCGAGTGGGGGAAGGGAAGGACACCATCATCGGAGTAGACCAGTCCTGTGCAGAGAGGAAAGGACGCTGCCATCAGAGCACAGCAGCGGAGTGGGGGTGGAGAAGGACATCACCATCAGAGTAGAGCAGTCCTGTTTAGAGAGGAAATTATGCTGCCATCAGAGCAGAGCAGCGGAGTAGGGGTAGAGAAGGACATCACCGTCAGAGTAGAGCGGTCCCGTGTAGAGAAGAATGAACAACGCCATTAGAGTAGAGCAGCTCTGTATGGAGAGAAACTGGCACCACCATCTGAGAAGAGCAGCCCAGTGGCGCAAGGGAAGGACACGGTCATCAGAGGAGAGCGGACCTGTGTAGAGAAGAAAGGACACCGCCATCAGAGAGCAGAGAGAGCAACCCTGTGTGTAGAGGAAGGGATGCCGCCATGGAAATGCAACCTGTTTGTTTGGATGGTGTGGTGTTACCTTATTTCAAGCGGTGGGCATTTCTTGGCGCTCTGCTTGTGCTTTGGGGCTTTTCATTGATGGCTTCATTTATTAATTGATTTAAGGTTTGTTGCAGTATTTAAACCCGTAAGACGTTGCACTATAAAGCAAAGCATCACTGAAATGCACTAATGTGTTTCATAAACCGAAGGAACGCTAGTTTTGTTTGCTTTTGAAAGCATTAGTTACTTGCAAAAGCAAACAAAACCAGCGTTCCTTAAGTGTCTAAAACACGTCATTGCACTTAAGTGATGCTTTGCTTTATAGTGGAACGTCCTACTGGTTGTAAGCACTGCAATACACCTTAAATAAATTAATAAATAAAACCATCAATGACAGGTCGTCATGCTGGCACAAGAGCTTGCCTATGGCAGTCCACCTGTTGCACGTAACTCGATTTTACTCCATGTAATGCCACACTTGCACATTGCTGTTCCATTATGCATGCTCAACCACACATGCAAACGTGGTGGCAGAGAGAGACTCTCGGCATCTTCTGGTGTCCATGGAGGTATCTGTAGCGGCCATCATGTAGTACAAATGAATTGCCATCATGTAATACAAATGGATTGCCATCATGTGATGCAAATGGATCCGACGAGTCCACCTTGACTCTTATCGTGATTGCTTGATGTCATAAATGAATGCCTCGAGCCACCTTTTCACTGTCCAATAATCTTAACGACCTCCGCCTCATGTCAGAAGCATTATCAGGACTGCCGAGTGTCCTGATAATTGTTCCTGGCAGAAATAGTAATTGTGTTATCCGTATTATAGAACGGTACCATCAAAGACAACACTTTTGCTACAAGCCAGACGTACAGTCCACGTGGGACACTCACATATCTTGAATCTGCACAAACATAGGTCACGTCGACACAGTACAGATTCCTTCGAGAGTTTAGCTGAATTGAAGAACATATATTGATTCAACGCCTTTGTTCTCATTATTGAGCATTTGGTACCGACAAAATCTTCTGAATAGACTTACATAGCCCTTAGACCGTGTCAGATTACAAATTATTGCCGCTGAGCATTATTGCACGGTGATTAATTTCGGAATCTATCAAGTCGTCTTTGGTACAAGTCTACATAAGACAGTAGTAATAACCTTGTTGCTCGGAGAAAAACCAGACGAAAT